ATGCGTTTTTGGACCTTGTCAAGAAGAAAAAGTGATTCGTTAAAAGAACCAGCCCAAATATGATAACAGTACTCCATACAGGGACGAATAAGAGATTTGTAGAGGTAGAGAATGGAATCAGAAGTAAGGAAATGGCGAGCACGATTAAGAGAAGCAACCTTAGCAGAAGCTAATCTAGCAATCGTTTGTATATATGGTTTCCATGAAAGGTCAGTAGTAAGCGATAATCCAAGAAGACGTAAAGAGGACGACTCAGTAAGAGGATTGCCATTCATTAATATAGGAATGTTGACCATATTACGGTAGTTGTTTGCAGTAAACAACTGGGTTTTATTAGAGTTGAAATTCACAAGCCACTGTGAACCTCAATCTATTACTGAAGTGAGATCGGATTCAAGATCAGCTGCTTGTTCTTGGCGATCGAAAAGGAAAGACTTTTTGTCAAGACAGGAGTATAAAGTTGAGTCATCAGCAAAAAGAGCTACTTTAAATGAAAGGTTGTCAGGAAGATCGTTTATGGAGATAAGAAACAAAGCAGGCTCAGGATGGAACCTTGGGGAACCCCAGAAGTTACTGGAAATAAAGAAGAGTGTTGGCCTTCAAGGATGACTTTAATAAACCGGTTAGAAAGAAATGATTTGATAACCTCAAAAACTTTCCTTGAAACACCATATGAAGCAAGCTTATGGAGAAGACTAGCATGCCAAACTTTGTCGAAAGCTTTAGATATGTTGAGAGCAATAGCCCTAGCCTCACCGCCTCCATCTAATGCACGATAAAATCTTTCATTTAAAGCAGTTAGCAAGTCGGCCGTAGAGCGAGAGGATCGAAAACCGTATTGATTGTCGGACAGTAGTTTATTTGACTCAAGATGAGATGTGAGGAATTTGTTGATCAAAGACTCAAAGACCTTGCTAATAACAGAAAGATGACTGATCGGACGATAATTGGAGGGGTCAGAATTTTCTCCAGAGTTTTTGAATATTGGAACCACAGATGCCATTTTCCAACAAGCAGGAAAACAAGACTCAGTCAAACACTTGTTAAATAGTTTAGAGAGAATTGAAGAAAGTTCTGGAGAACAATTCTGCAAGACTGTGACAGGAATGTTGTCTGGACCACAAGCTGTAGACGAGTTTAATTGAGATATGACTTTAGCAACAGAAGCCGGAGTGATTTGAATGTCTAACAATGGGTCAACCTGTTTGACTGGAATGGAAGGAAGAGAATGTCCATAAGATTCAAGAGTGGAATTAGAAGAAAAGTTCTTTGCAAATAGTTCTGCCTTATCCTTGGGAGAGGTAATAAGATCAGTCCCATGAATGAGAGATGGAATGTTAGATCTACCCTTGTTAATAATGCTGTTGAAGATTTTCCAAAAGTCTTTAGAGCCTAACTTCTGTGATAAGATGCGAGATTTAGTGAACTGAGAATAATGGAGTTTAGCATCAGAAAGCACCTTTTTACATCGATTTCTTGCAAAATTAGCCGTTTGTTCTCAAGAGAGTTGTTCTTTTGAAAAAGATGAAAAAAATGATTACGATTGGATATAACAGCCGCACAAGAAGGAGAAAACCATGGAGTAGAATGAGGCTTGACTTGAAACCGACGAGAAGGAATAAAAGCTTCCATTCCAGCCTGAATCCAGGAGATTACGTAGGAGACGCATTTATTAGCTGAGAGAGAAAAAACATCAGCCCAAGGACCATCACAAAGAAAATCACGAAAAGAATCCCAGTCAGCTTTAGGGTAGTAGTAGGTGGTGCGATGATAAGGTGAGCCCAAAAAAGAAGTACGAGAAGAAAGATTTATAGAGATCATTGCATGGTCAGAACCACCTAAGGGAGAAAAGGGAGAAACAGAACATAAGCTAGGGTCAGAGACAAGACATAAGTCAAGGAGTGAAGATAAATGATTAGGGTTGTCAGGAAAATAAGTCACAAAGTTAACTGAGTAAGAGATTGAGAAACGCAGAAGTTAAAGGCTTTAGTGCCAGCAGGATCAATGGTGTTAGAGCCAAGCCATTCAGTGTGATGGGCATTAAAATCACCAACAACAACAATTTTGGCAGAGAGGTAAAGAGAAAGGGCATGGTCAATTTGATCAGAGATAACATCTAAAGTGTGCAATCATGGGAAGAAGGAGAACGATAAAGAACAAAAAGAAAGGTGATAGAGTGAAGAGGTGCTAGTCGAAAGCAAATAGAAGAATGGTCAAAGGATTCGAACCTGATTTCACAACAAATAGGGTAATTAATGCGTATGTATACCCCTAAACCTAGCATGTGACTATTGGAGTCTTTACGAATCAAAGGATAGTACCCATCAACACTGACATCGGAAGAAGGAATTTCAGAATTTAAATTTGTTTCACTGAGTGCAAGCAAGTCTGGTGAATTTTGCAGGAGGTAAGACTCAACTGACGGAAAGTTGCTACGCAGACCGCGAATATTTGTAAAAGATATATTAAAACATTTAGGTGGTGGGGATAATTTTTTAGGTTTAAAATTTTTGGTTACTTTGGTAATGATTTGGGTTTAATGAGAACTAGACACATTCATAGATAGAGCACAGCCTCCTAATCAATGAGCTATGCAGTTGTCTCAGTCCTGTTAATTAACCCTAAGCCGTGACATAGAGCTCCTTATGTGGCCTTGACAATGCATTCCAAAAGCATTAACAGGGACACCATCCATGCGCAACATGGCACTGTTAATACTCTGATATTTTGCAGCTGTTGATGGAATCAGCCTCTCTGAGAGCTACCACAGAGTTTGGGAAACCTTACTACCAGCCAGCCTCAGAACCATTAAACTGAGTTTTAGAGCTGTACCCTCATATGGAGATAACAGGAGGAGTTGCATAGCCATTATCAAGGAGACAAGAAAAAATCTATGAGTAGAGTCAAGGAGATCCAGCATTCAACATCCTAGGCAGGAAACAATGTAACACAGGTTACATCTACGCCAGCCTAATAGATGAAGAAGGGGTTCGAGGCTGGTTAGCAGAATTTTTATGCTTACCCCTAAAGTCTTTGCCTAGCAGGCCTTCTACAAGACAGTAGCTGGATGCAGCTAACATCTGCCCAAGATTAGTATTTTTATCAAAACACCATCTCTAGCCTTTACTCAACCAAGAGCCCCAAGGCAGGGGAAATTTAGTCGGAGTTTATTTCTCCTAGCCTTTGCCTAAAAAGAGCACACTCTGCAAGGCAGCAGGGCTTGTGGCAGGTGGTACTGGGTTACGTGATACCAGTAGCAAGATTGATCTTGATTATCCTGACCTGACCTGGAGTAGTCAAAAGGAGTTACTTCCCGCAACAGTACTTTGAGAAAACCAGGCATGGCATTTTGGAAGTGCATTAGGAAAAACACTGCATCTAACAAAATACAGGAGTCTAAGGTGAGTGTAGGTTTTGTAGTTGGAGTAAGTAGCTAGTTACTGAGCTCACGCTGCATCAGAGAATAAACAGAACACAAACAAACATAAATAATAAACATAAATCAACTTACGGGTGAGTCAACACCGCGCCAGAGGTTCAGACAAAACACAAACATTCATAAAAAACATAAAGTAACCTACGGGTGAGCGAACACCGCGCCAGAGGTTCAGATAGAACACAAACATACATAAAAAACATAAATTATAACAATTCCCAACTTCCTGTTAAAAACAATTCCCCCCCCCCCCCTCCACACACACTTTTTTTCTTAAGCAGAAAACTCTAGATATAGAAAACTTTTTTTTGAAATTGACAATTTCCCCCCCCCCCCCACACACACACAAACTTCGAGATCCGTGTCGTCGGCCCTGATATATGGCCATAAGAACAAAGTGGTGCAACCCACAAATTTACAAAATGTGTTTTTTTTGCGTAACGTAACTCTATAAAAAACTTAAAGAAATATAAATATACATACATATATATATATATATATATATATATATATATATATATATATATATATATATATATATATATATATATATATATATATATATATATATATATATATATATATAAATATATATATATATATATATATATATATATATATATATATATATATATATATATATATATATATATATATATATTTATATATATATATATATATGCATATATATATATATATATATATATATATATATATATATATATATATATATATATATATATATATATACATACATATATATATATCTATATATATATATATATCTATATATATATATCTATATATATATATATATATATATATATATATATATATATATATATATATATATATATATATATATATATATATATATATATATATATATATATATATATATATATATATATATATATATATATATATATATATATGTGTGTGTGTGTGTGTGTGTGTGTACTATAGAAAGCAATTTTTTACTATGTTTTATGCAGTGCCGTGGCTAGAGGATTGTAGCCCCCACCCTTATATAAAAACCCTGCTATTAGGGCCCTAAAATTATAAAAAAAATTTCACTATTAAATTACTAATTAATAATAAGTACTACTTTAAAAATTAAAAATTTCTAAAAAAAAAAAGATTCCTTAAATTTCCGAATGTGCTCTCAATTGTTGCTGGGTATCCCCCCTCCCCTAATCTAATGTTGAGGGGAGATTTAGCTCTGGCTTTATTTAACTAAATAAGGCTGAGTGGCATTTAACAACGATTATTTTTACTTCGAAGTTTTTATTTATTTTTTTGTTACAAAAATCCTCCTTCATAAATTAATTACTTTCCATGAACTTATTATTTATTAAAATCCAAAAAAATAAATGCTTCTAAATAAAAAAACTCACCTTCGGTCTTTTCAAAAACCATATGTTTAATCAACCTGTCACTATAGTAGGCCATAATACACACAATCTAATTTGAAAGAACTAAAGTTTCAATAAATTTCCAAAAGACTACCACCTGAATTCATCTACATAAAATTACTTTGAGAAAAAACTTTTTTTTTTGGATAGTTTGACTGTCGCAAATACAGTTTTTTTTTTTTTTTTTATTGCTTTTAAAATAGCACTCTATTGCTATGCAACATGGATCTATTTTAAAAGGATCAATTTTAATTTTGTTAAAAAGGTATAAATATACTATCACGTTGACGTTATTAATAAATAAACTCTTTTTTTTTGTGAGTCTTTAAACTATTTTCGCTTAAGCTGCAGGTTTAGCTTATTATTCTTAGGTAGAAAAAAGCAACAAGGAATATCAGCATAGCAACAAGGAATATCAGCATAGCAACAAGGAATATCAGCAATTATCTGTGGTTTTAATGTGATCAAGTTTCATAAAGTTTATAATTATCATTAATTTATAGGTACTAATAACATTCATCAAAATTTTTACCTTTTAGTTTTGCAACTTTTAAATATTTCTCCATTTTTTCACTTTTCCCTAAAAGAACTCCTTTTTTTTCCCAATTTCCATTCTTAGAAACTGTGTAAATTTTCTAAAACTAAATATTTTAACTTTAAAAACACCTTATTAAGAATTAATTTCAATTAATTCAATCAAAATACAAATCATTTGTTTTCTATTTTATATAATTAATAGTCGCTTTATAATAGCTTTTAAACTGCTTATTGAAATTTAAAAAAATTACAATGGCTTTTGTTAAAAGGGTATAAATTTACTATCACGTTTACGCTATTAATAAATAAACTCCTTTTTTTCGTGAGTCTTTAAAGTATTTTTGCTTAAGCCGCAGGTTTAACTTATGATTGTTTGGGAGAAAAAAGCAACAAGAATTATCAGCAAGGGAATTATTATGTTGGTATTATAATTATTAATATGCATTATTGTAATATATAATTAGATTTGAGAAGAGACTATTACAACGTAAAAACACGTTTTTAAACAATATAATACATTCCCGTACTGCGTATTCAGTTAAAAAATTTTTACAATTGTAAATAGTTCATATCAATTAAATTCTTTTTATTATGGTGTCCAATTATAAAAAATCACATTAAGTATTATTATGGTCATTTTAAGTAATTTTTTAAACATTGTTTTAGTGACACTTTTGTAAAGACATCAGAAATTATTTTAAAAACCAAAGAAATATGTTTAATGCCGTCTCGAGTGCTACAAAGCCTTGTGGCAGTTTATCTGAATTGCGATACAAACACTCACCAAAGGTTCAGAGAGCAAAGCCTCAAATTGTGAATACTCCAATACAAAAAAGCGATCCTACAAAGTTTAAAGAAAGTTTGGAATTATTTAACAGGTTTCATTGTAAATTTACTGAAGGTTTATGGCGAGCTGATAAAGTATACTTTGAATGTAAAGGCGATTTAAGCGTTACACTACGAATGTGCACAAAATGTAGAGACTTAGGTAAAGATAACACTAAGACAGACCAGTATTATATCAATACTCCAGAAGTAGCACGCGAAAGAACCATTTTATGTTATGCTTGCATGCACACAATGATCAATGAATTTCTTGATAAAAACAAAATAGCAGATGTACCAGAAGAACTAAATCGATTACAAAAATTACAAACAAATGAAATTTCCATAAGCTATCACGGAGATCATTCACATTAAATAAGTTGATTACGTGGCAACAATAAAAAAGTTTAGTAATACGCATCAACAATAACAGTAAAAAGATGATAAAATTAAGTGAACTATGATAAATGTTTTTCTACAAGTTAATTTTTAAAAAAAAGAATTATAGCGAAAATGTTATCTCAAATAATTTATTAAGTTGATTTCTATTTGCTCCTTATCTTTGAAAACTTTACATAATGAAATTTGGCAGTTCTGAAAACATAAAAATGTCAGTAGTTCCAAAGTAAGTAATAAAATGGTTGTGGTAAGGTGTTGGTAGATTTGGGAGTGTCAAGTAATAGCTGTAACAAATTCATGGGTACAACTATAAGGTACTACTATACAATTACACAATTTTTTTCTTAAAAAACATTAATAAAAAATTTAGTGAACATAAATTACAAATATAGGTCGAATAAAGACAGAATAAAAAATAAATAATTTTTTTTCAAAATCCATATAAAGAAGTTGGTTTTGTTAAAAAACCGTTTACACGATTATTTAGAGTGATTGTTAAACTCTGAAGTTTGCACAGCTTTACATTGATGTAAACTACAATCTGTGCCAGTTTCACATTCAAGTTATCAAAACTTGCAAAAATATTGTCATTTTTATGAGGTGGTGATTTTCACAATTTTACTCGCCTATTCAAAATTTCAAAGGTACAAATTTAAGTAAAAGTTTTTTTTTTTTTGGTTTACATATGTTGGTCGTTGTACAACAATATATAACCAATAATAAAAGTAATATACAATGATAGAAAATATAATAAATATATAAAAGGTATCTGAAAGAAGATTACGAGGATCTTGTTTTCATATTCTCAAATAGTCATTTAACAAGAATAAAATAGCAAAAATTAATAAACGAAAATTTAGAAAAAACAAAAAAATTAAAAAAAAATTTAGAAAATTAGGAAAAAACGAAAAAAACAAATGAAAAATTAAAAAACAAAAATTTAATAAACTTTCTCAAAATTGCAAGGTAAATATTCTTTGTATCCGAAGAAAGATCAAGAGGATCTTCTCATCAGATAAAATACACGTGTAAACCAACATATACATTAAAAAGTTAAAAATGTTAAAATTTATTTAAAAATTAAAATTGTTTTGGCAAAATTTAATTTTAGAAGTACCTATTACTTTTTTCTTTTTTAAAAATAAATTAAAAATCTTTTTAATGGTTTTTAGTTTATTTTACTTTTACTAAAAACAAACTTTAATTTAAAGTTTGTTTTTTGTTCGGCGAAAAAGTTATTATTTCTCAAAATATATTTAGTGATTGATTTAAAAGTAAAAATGACTTTTAAAACAGCTAGGGATAAGTTATTTATTCATAAATATACAAAACATGGTAGTCGGTAAAATGCGAACTGCGAACCGGTAAAATGCAAACTTTTTTGCGAATCAAGACATTATATTTTGATGACCACTACGGTTATGATATAAAAAACTTTTGCTCGTCAATTTTTTAATTTAAATAAATATAATTCATTTAAGTTAGATTTAAATTAAATATAATTTGTTTCTGCTCGAAGTCCGTAAAATATATAGTAAATAAACAATTTAACGGTAAACGGAAGATAAAAAATATTAAATCATTAACAATCAATAGGGCTATGGTTCGAAATTTATTAATATATAGGTTCGCATTTTACCGGTTCGCAGTTCGCGGTTCGCAGTTCGCATTTTACCGATTACCACAAAATATATAATACATTTAATTCGTATACATTTAGTATTCTCAATTCAATAAAATAATGCTTTGAATGATAGAAGCGTTTTGCAAAATTGATTTAACGGATTGCGCGTTTCTGACGTAGATATAGATGTCGCAGCACACTTTTTTCTTTACATCCCCAACCAATATTAGCATTATTTAAGTAACTATGTATAAATATTAGCATTATTTAAGTAACTATGTATAAATATTAGCATTATTTAAGTAACTATGTATAAATGAATAATAAAGTTGGATAAAGACTTTTTTTTTCTTATTAAAGTAGATTCGTGATTTATATAATATCCTCATGTTTTTAGAAATTTTTGTGCTTATATAATTTGTGAAAAATTTTAAGAAGCTTCATAAAGTTTTAGTGAAGATATTATGTAAACGGTATAACAAAAACAACAAAAAGTATGTACTGTGAAAAAAACAGTTTTAAAAATCAGATAGTATTTATTAACATAAAACAAAACAGAACTAACTCAATGGGATACAGAATTATAAGATCGGTATCCCTCAATGACTTTGGTTTTTGTCTATATACTATTTTCTTAAGCCTCTTCTTACTTTTCTCTGTCTTTAAACATTAGATGACTGTTTACGCTCTAAAATGATCGTTTTTTAATGAATTTTTTTCAAAAAAAAACTTTCATGTGGAATATTTAAACAATCAAAAACATTTCCAATACCATTAATATTATCATTGAAACTTATGATGGCAGAACACACACTAGTTTTAAGTACTTTTCTGATACAATAAATAGATTTGCGACAACATTCCCAATAAAATCCATTTAAACACTCATTTACATTTTGGGTTAGGCCATGGAGGCATTTCTTTAGCTATGAGTTTTGACTTTATTCCTGAAGATTAATACTTTTTTTCAATTATGCTAAGTGCATATAGAAAACTTGTGAACAAATTGGGCATGAATTGCACAAGAAATAACTTGCAATAGAGGTGTTATTCCATAACATAGTTGCTAAAGGCGTTGCTAAGATTAAAAATCTATTACAACATTAATATAAATTAAAATAACTTCAAATTTTTAATTATATCATTTTTAATTATATTTATTCCATTATTGATATATTCGATAAAGTGTGGATCATAACCGTCTAATGTCGCTGAGGCCCCACTATATTACTCATGTCAAACAAAATGTTGAATCTGAATTATTAGCAAAATTCAGGAGATTTTTTGCTTACCAGTTTAATAATCCATATCTATACGGTTATAAATGCATAACTCAGCATTTTAGAGTTCATTTGACCAGATCTTTACCATACGCAATAGATTTCGAAGCAAGCAGACACGTTTTTTTCTACTGCGTGTTTAAATTGCTATACAAATATGAAAACTTTAATTAAAAACATAGAAAGGATAATAAAGAACAAATTAGAATAACAAAAAAAATCTTTTCTCGAAGCAACAGAGAATTTTTTAAAAGAATAAAAAAAAAGTTTTGCATCGGTAATGAGTGCAAACTTAAAAATATTAACGGACAGAATTGGAAAACTAAAAAGTTATGTTAACAACAACAAATGTGATTAATATTCAAAAAGATTTTGAAGCGATTTTGAAACAACTTTAAACTTCCAAGAAACATTTTTTTTTTCCTATTAGAAAAGGTATTACAAATTAGAGAGTGTTGTGATAAGAATACTGTTTTACAAAAAAACAATTGATTTAGAAAACAGATCTCGTCGAAACAACTTACGAATAAATGGAATTGAGAAAAACATATTGAAACATGGAGTGACTGAAACCTGGAGTGACCTAAAATACAGTAAAAAATATTTTCAATACAGTAAAAAATATATTTCAAAAAATAACTGAAAATTGACAGCGCAGTGGTTGTGGAAAGAGCGCATCGATAGGGCAAATCAAGAGTAAACTACCAAGAGCAATAGTTCTGAAGCTCTTAGTTACCAAGACAAACCAACTTAGTTACCAAGACAAACCAAAATTATGAACGCCGTGAAAAACTTGCGTGGAACTGGTATACTTATTAACGAAGATCTTGCGAAGGAAATTATCAAGAGTCGTAAAAGGTTATGGAAGGAAGTTAAAAGACCACGCAGTGAAGGCAAGTATGCTATTATAAAATATGATAGATTTCTTTGCAGAGAATTTAGAAACCCCATCTTAAACATCAAGTTTCAAAAAGAAATTTTTTTAAAAGCAAATACCTCAAAAAAAATGCATGGCTGGGACTAGTGATTTTGAATCCATAAGTTTTAACTTTTCTGAAATAGATATTAATAAAAATATAAACCTCGATATAAATTTTTTCCACGACATGCCTACGGTTGCTCACATCACTGTTCAAGCGAATAAGAAGGGTTTCTTTTTGAAAATGTTTGCGACAAAAAATTAAATAAAATTAGAATTCTCCACGTAAACATTCGAAGCTTAATAACAATTTTGAAAAACTTCTCAGTTAGAGGAAACAGAAATTTTTTAAAATATAGTTTGTTTGATTGAAACGTGGATTTTAAATGATTTAAATAATACTTTTATATTCTCTTATTTTAAACTAACTCTCTCTTCAAAGGCAAGAAAATAAATGTGGTGGTGGTAAATGAAAACATTGTTTATTATGTTAGAAATGATTAAGATGTTTCTGATAGCGATAAAGAAATAATATCTTTTAAAATTATACACAACGAATCAAAAAATATATTATTAAGCTGTTGTTATCGACCACCTGACGGCGTAAGTGAGAATTTGAGTATAATTTATATTACAAAGCAATATAATTATATATATAACAAATTATGTATATTACAAAGTAATTAAAAAAAAGGTACTAATGAAAAAAAAAAGATTTTCATTATTAGGCGCCTGAATATGTTTTCTGTACAATGAAGATAATAGAATTAAAAATATTTACGATTCTAATTTTTATTTATTTATTTTAATTTTCATGCTATATTTTTCTATACAATGTTTTTATATCTGAAGATATTGCTGGCTTAGATTCTATTTTTGACACTGGAGCAATTTCCATAATTAATCGCCCAATCAGAGAACAAAAAACTCAAAGTCTTTGATTGATAATATCATTACAACAAATATATTCGACATTGATATTTCAATTCGGTATTCTAAAATCGGATAAATAGATCTTTGATCTTTTATGGTCTATGGTCTCTAGGTCTCTAATTTTATATATAAACCCTTTTGTTCAACCAAATTTAATCAGTTTTGTATTACATATTGTGCACCTTACTTTTGTAACAAAATTGTTTTGTCTAATTTCGACAGGCCTTTTACTTTTACCATTTTAGAGCTGACGACACTGGAAGATGGAGGGGGGAGGGCAGGGGCACTGTTCCCCCATTCTTTTCTTTTTTTTAGAAAATTCTTGATATAGAGAACATTTTTTAGAAAATTAACGATTGTGTCCCTTCACTTCAAAAC